ATACTATCCCTACGAAACGCGCGATTTATGGACCATTTACGATCGTAATTGTACTGTTTAAGGTTGTCCACAGTAGCGTAAACCTTCGTGTACGATCGTCACAATCATCGACCTCAGCTGTATTAGTCTTACTCAGCTTTTTCTGTTGTATCCGAATTTGTGATCAGATTTATGAAGCAAAGGTTTCGAAATTGACAGCAACTTACTGAAATTCGCCTGCAGTTTGTCGTTTGAGAGCCAATTCCAGTAAATCTTAACCACTTCAAGAACTCGTGGTTTTTATTCAATGAAACCTAACAATAGTTTCTGACAGAGCGCTCAAAACCACACGGAACTACGATAAAAATTGTCGGAGGTTTGATCAATGCCAATGTTTGGAATACACATGTATCGATTCTGATCAATTCGTGGAATTTGGAGTCGAGTATTAGTTTATTCCCAGTATTGAGAGCAGTTGAACTTGGGACAGCTTTTCATAGTGGTTCTGACGAGCTTTGAACACTCTATCGAAAATGACTGTTAGATTTCACTGACTGAAAAAACAGGAGCTTTTGAAATGGTTCGAATAGGCTGGTATTGATTCTAAATTAAAAACTTTCGACAAGTTTCAGTTAATTCTGAAGCTTTTGCTTTTGTTTCATGGAATGTGATCATAGATTTGGATCCAGCAGAAAAAGATGAGTTAGACGAATACTGGGCATCGGTAGGCGCTTATGTTTTATGTACAGAAAGAGGTCATTTTTTATATGACATGCAAGAAGTTCGTGCATCCCTATTTGAAAAACTGATTCATGATTCGGATTCTTCGACTCCGGTTATCTTTGGTTTAACCTTATAAAAAATCGTTATATTTCCTAAAACCACCTTTCCTTGACAAAAGAATCAAACTCAAACATTTGCCATTTCTCGATTTTTGGGTAGCTGTGCTGCCTCTTCAAAAGTCACGTCTTGTCTCTAACCAATGTGATTTTCTACTATATTCAACCAGTTACAAATGAATTCTATACAATTCTAGTCAGTTTCAGATCAACTCCGACCTATGCCAGTCAACTCCAAGCCCAGAATTGGAATTGGTACACTCCTATTTGCAGCATTTACCATTTTCCGAGTCCATATAATTTTTCTTGACTCTTTCGCGAAAAATGCATTATGATAAGTAGTGGGATCTTTTCACAAATTAAAAACTCTGGATTGAATGAAAATATTATATAACATAGATTATCAATAAATATAATATTAAAAATACTATGTATTTCTTGCGTAAAGTATCATAGAGAAAAACTACAATTTAATTTAATTCATATTTAATAAATTATAAAAAGTAAATAATTTATATTTACAAATAATTTAGAAATTATGAAAAGAAATAATTTACATTTATAGTAAATATAAATTATTGATAATTTAATTTGCTCGAAAAATAAATTAAAAGTAAATATAAGTTGACCCCCCTATTTGAAACAATGAGTTTTGCAGAAATCAATTGTATCGCTACATTGATTCGGAAAAATATTGAACGATTACGAATGATATTTGAATTGATGCATGTCCATCAATAGAAACAGAACGAAAGAGAAGGTGAATCTCATTCTTTTTATGCGAACTCTTAAGAAGAATGCCAAAGATAGAGTGAAAATTGAAAATATTGCAGTATCTAAAATACGCCAAGAGATGCTGGACGAAAGTATTTGTATTGGCACTTATCGTATTTTTCTAAGTAAAAGTAAAAGTACAAGTATTCATCAAGTGTACTTTCATACTTTAACTTGAATATGAAACAATGTCTTTTTTGCTTATTTGAAGTATCTTTTTCTTTCTTCAAATTTTCACAATTATTCAGTGTTGAACTGAAAAATATGTTAGAACTCTTCATAATTGGTCCAAGAGCAAGCTGACGCACCCTCTTATAAAGGGTATGAATGTGTGCGGAGAGTACAGTAATACTCATACCCTGCAAAGACAAGTAAACTATTTTTACTTGTTACTCTTGTACTTGTTCTACATCTGTTCTCATTAACAGTTTTAAGAAGTTTCTCTAAATTTCCTTGCTCCTTTCTTTACTTTTTGTGAATGTGTGCTATGTTCTCTGCTTACTAAATTTGGCTGATATTATATTCTATTTGTTTACAGGTAGAGGTTTCGCTTTTTTGTATGTCACTGATTTGAAACCATACTATGTGAGGATCTCCGTATTTTTTTTTCTTATAGCCCATTGGATCGTTGAAGTTCGCTAGGATAGTGATATGGTGTGAAAAAACTTAGTTTACTTCAAACTAAGAACTTTGTCTTCAAATCTAACAAACAGAAAGAACAACATGAGAAAACATTCAACTCTATATTTGAATGGGTCTATAGCATCATGTTCATGAGAGACAAGATTATCATCAAATCAGCTAACAAAACATTTGTGATGTCTTTGATTGAAATAAATTAGAATCTTCCTTGGAATGAATAATTGCTTCATGCTATAATAAATCAAATGCCTATTAGATAGCCTCAGTGAGTCACTGTGCCAGTGCTCAACAACATAACGAACCCCGTTCAAACATAACCACGCGATGACTAATCATAGGCTTTAATGGAATTTAAAGATTACAAGTACAAGTATTTGTTTTGAGCATCCTCTCTAAAATTTCAGATGTCACCACATGAAAGAATCAATTGACAATAATGAGCGCTTTTATTATTGTTTCATTCCGTAAACACATACAGCAACGAAATGTAAGAGAACAGAACGATAGGAAGCGAACATGTCAAGGAAAGACGAAAGCAAACACAATGCGGAAATGATGATTCATATTAATTATGTAAATGTTTATTTGCGCATTGAGACCATTAATGAACTTGTTGTTACAAGAATTTTTGAATTCAAAAGCTTGAAAATACATAGAAAACAATCTGATTTTCTTTTAATGATCAAATTGTGTACAAACTTGGATATTTACAATACATATACTTCGTTCATGTCATAGGCTCATTATTCGTTGAGAAGAGGAATAAAAACAAAGAAACAAAAGAAAAGAAAAAATGGCAGCACTAAAACAAAATATAGAACATGGCGAGGATGAGAAATAACTGCACAAAAAAAACAATTTCATCATTACACATTATCATCTATTTTGATATTAGTAATCTGAGTGCAAACTATTTCTTCTCCACCAGAAAGTTCTTCTGACTACAACGTGTACTGTAGAGCATTTCATTATTTTTTATCACGTTCACTGCAGGGCATGTCGTCACCCTTCACCGCGTTCATTGTACAACATTGCATCATTCTCTTCGTCGCGTTCATATAAAAACAAAGTATGTGCACTATTCTGCCAGTGAAATCGAATCGTCACGTTTTATAATAGCTTGTTCTCTTGCTTGCATATTTAATAATTCTGTTTTAGCTGCACAGCGTAAGTTACTTTTTCTTTTTCACAATCTAATATAAGGAGAGGGGGGAAATTGACGATATCTTGTATTTTGTGAATTGTTTTCTTTCAAAATGATTTGTTGAAGTCATTTAAATAGTGATTTTTGTAGTCCTCACAACGGACTACAAAGATGAGATGTGAACGCTTTCATCAGTTTAGTTATATTAGTTTTATTTTTCATATTAACCGCTTTACTTCAGTGAAAAAAAATTTAAGGTACATTTAATGTTTCATTCATTTTTCGTATATAAATTATTATTTGAAAAGTTTCTTATTTATATCATTGGATGAAAAATTTCATGAGCTCTGTTTTGATAATAGTTATTTTTTGAAAATCACTCATTTTCATAATTAAATATTAGCTGCACTTAATTAATATTAAATATGAAAAAGAAAGATTTTGTTTTTGATTTTCAGTTTACAAGTACATCAATAGAAAGAGCATTAAAAAGTGAACAAAATAAAATGGTATAAAACTTCCGTCAAAATGATTCGTCTTAATATGATTGTAAGCACTACAGTATCCTTATTACTACACTGTATGGATAATTCAAAGCAAGTTTAATATATAACACAGGTTTAAATTTTGAAGTCCAGTATATGTTGTAGATCACAATTTATATTTTCGAACGAGAACGACGTAAGTTTTAGACTTGTATCACATTGTCAGTAAGGGAACTAAACGGGTTATAATCATACTAAGATGAATCATTTTGACCGGAGTGTTATACCATACTTTTTTTGTTCAGCCTTTAATGCTCTTTCCATTGATGTACTCATACAACTGAAAATGAAAACAAAATCTTTCTTTTTTTGTGAATAATTAATATTAATCTAGCGCAATTCATACATAATTATGAAAATGAGTAACTTTCAATCAAAAAATAATTATAATCAAAACAGAGGCCATGAAATTCTGTATCGAACGATATTTAAAAAACTTGCGGAAATAATAAGTTGTCAGCGAAAAGTCAATGACATTAAATATGCCTTAAAACGTCCACATGTTAATTGTTTAGTTCGTTCTGCAAGTTTTTATACATATCAAATTTGAAAGTTGAATTCAATTGAATTCAACTTTCACTTTCCTATCTCAATTATATATCATTATTCTTTCGTTTGGTGGTATTTTGTTTTTTTTTTTTACACAGTAATTTGATATAAGATGAAGAATCGAACTTGAAAGAATGCATAGAACTTTTTAAAAAATGATGATATTCTCTTTTGTTTACCAAAAAATACGAACACATAAGTATTTTCGTTTTTCTTCTAGTCCTGTTGATTAGAGTCCTGTGCGAGTTCAACTTTTGGAACCCGACCCGAGCCGAAAATCTTATTAGTTTTTATCCTCGATCCGCTATTTTCTTCGAATATATTTATTCAGTTAAAACTTAAGTTCTCATGAAGGTACGGGAAATATATCTGAATGGTATTCTGATGATCTAATTAGTTGTAAAAATATATATGACCCTTTATCATTCCTGCACACGACATCCACAAAATCTGCAAGATTTTGCATGGATTATTCAATTAACATAGGATTACTTTTTTAGAAGATAATAATCGAAAACAAAGACAAAAATGGACAAGAACGATAAGAAAAAAGTTTCAGTTGGAGAATCGGTCGTGCCTGATGGTGGATGGGGATGGGTCATTGTCTTTTCATCATTCTTGATCCATTTCATTATGGATGGGTAAGCAATATTTTTCTCATGTCTTCTCCAGCTTTATATTACAAAAAATAGGATAACATATTCAATGGGTCAAGTGTTCTTAGAACCCATGCGAACTAAACTTTCACTCGATCGAGCTTCTGTATCAAGTATTTTTAGTATTTTGCCAGCTATCACTCTTGGCGCAGGTAAGATATTGTTACTCTGAATTCAACATTGTTTTTTAGTAATGATGTTTTTATTTTCCAGGGCCAATCGCAACTGTTCTTACTAATATGTACGGATGCCGTGCAGTGGCTATAGCAGGTACTTGCATCGCCTCGTTCGGTTTTTTTCTTAGTCGACTGTGGGCCAACATCTGGTTTTACTATGTTACGATTGGCGTCATCGGAGGTATGCTCTTTTACTAGTAGAATCGATATCGGTACTTGATCAAGTCAACGACAAAATTTTAAGCGAATTATTGTCTTTTTCAAATTTTCTTTCACTTTACAGCATACGAATCTAATTCAAGTGATGATATAGATAGTATGAGAGATCGGCTACATGATGTATTTATTATTGGAGGGAACTTTATTTATCTATATAGGTTTTTTATAATTAAAATAATTCTTTTCCAAGCAAAAATAGATTTTAGTACTTTCTATGTAGTATTTCGCATTTCTTAACCAAGAAATTTTTGATTAGTCAGTTTCGAAAAACAAGTTTTCCAAAAGTAGATCTTTACCTCGAAAATTTGATTTTAGTGAGAATAGACAAAGCACATGGAAAAGTCAAATGTTTCAAATTCCATCGTATTTCGCTCATATCTGAGGATTCTTAGAAGTTAGAAAGGTGTGAAAAGTATGATTTTAAAGAAAACTGAATTTTTACAAGACTGCCCTCAGAAAAAAAATCGAAAGTGAGTAATGAACATATTTATTGTCATTAATTAATTTTCTACCCCTTTTATATCTTTACTTCATCGAATTAAATTAAAAAAAGAGAATTCTTCCTAAAAATTTAAATACATGTGTTTTTTCTTTAACTGTGCGCGAGATACTCTAATTTATGAAAGACGTTGTAGAACAGCGACGCTACAGTAGGGAACTGCAAAATCACTTTTTTCTGGTCCCGGTCCCGGCATAGTCCCGGTAAAAAGTTTCTGGTCCCGGTCCTGGTCCCGACGAATTTTTTCCAGTGGTCCCGGTTCCGTTCCGGTCCAGGTGAAATTTTTCTGCTGGTCCCGAACCCGATTTTGATAGAAATTTTGTGTCGAGTGATTCTCATTCATAGACTCGGTTATATTTCTAAAATGAAGCAACTCTAGTCTTGTTGTTCGTGCGTATTGTTTACGCATATTCTAATACCGATAGAATTATCGAGAAATTGCGATTCTTGAAATCAACATCAGAATGTATAAAAGACTTTTTCCAATGTAGATAAAATAACCAATTCTAAAATCTCTAATAGAAAAAACTAAATAAGAAAAAATGTAGCCTAGTGTCTGTTAAAAAAAAATTTACGGGACCACATGGAAATTTCAGTCCCGTCCCGATCCCGGTAAAAAAACAAAATTTTGGTCCCGGTCCCGCCGGGACCGGGACCGGGACCACTTTGCAGTACCCTACGCTACAGAAACGAAAGACTTCGATTTTAAAGCTCGCAAATCTGACGATAGAGACGATCTCGTCTTAAAAAGAAAATTGTCCTCTATTCGGCTAACTAGTTAAAAACAATTAAAGACATTGCTTTTCTCGTCGAAATAATTAAAAGATCATACATTGTAATACGATACGATTTGAAGCATTATACTTTCCCATGTGTTTTTCCTATTCTCATTAAAATCAGATTTTCGAGGTAAAAATTGACTTTGAGAATAAATTTTATTTTTGGAAACTGATAAAGCTAAAAAATCTCTTGGTTAGAAAATGTGAAACACTAGAAAGTAGTTAAATCTATTTTCCTTCGAAAAAAAGTTATTTTTATTATGAACAATCTATATTTTGACAGACAAAGCCTTCTCTTATAGTACGTCATATGGCCGGTTTCTCATAATACCTATATGCCTTTTAATGTGAAATGAAATTTTGAAAACAAATTCATTTAAACTTTTGTCGCTAACTGTATATATTAATTGTTGTTTTCAGGTCTTGGTTTTGCACTTATGTACTTACCAGCCATTGTTTCTGTCGGATTGTATTTCGAACAAAAACGTACATTTGCCATGGGCATCGCTGTATGTGGTTCAGGCGTGGGTACATTCGTACTTTCCTATATCATGAATGGAATCGTCAATATACGTTCGTGGCTCAACTATGAGAGTGCATTACTACTCGAATCTGGTATCATCTTGCTAAGCCTTATATGTGGCTTTTTAATGGTAATTGTTTTCGTTTTCTTTGGAATTCTCAAACGTAAAAGACGGCAATAATCTTAGATGTAGCGATACTGATTTGAAATTCGAATGCAACAAGATGTTGCTTGATAAATGAAAAAGAATTTAAATGAAAAGAAATCTTCGCCTCATCTTTCGAGCGGATAATAATAAATTATTTGTTTAGCTTCCTCTACCACAAGAACCTAGCGAACAACGACGACTAGAACGAAAACTACGTAAAGAAGTCGAACAAAAACAAAACGAGCAACTCTTAAATTTGCAAAATGGATCTGCAGCATCGAACAATAATACTGCCAAAGGTAAACTCGTCTATAGAGATTTTATTTTTTGAATTTATTAATATTATTTCATTGATTTTTCTCTTTGAAAATATTTGAACCAATGTTTTCAGTTGTCACCATTGAAAAAGCATCAAGAAAATCATTCTTTAATCAAATAATCGAACAAATCGATCTCAATCTACTCAAAAATCCTAAATTTACACTATTTACTGTATCGAATTTCTTAGCAAGTCTTGGCTTCAATGTAATATACAATTATGCTGATGATCTTGCAAATGATTCAAATGTCATAAAAGATCAACGAACATATATTGTTATGTCAATTGGTTTGTCCAACATTTTCGGTCGTTTCATCGTTGGCTATTTAGGTGATCGAAAATCGGTAAGAAAAGCTTTCGATATGAAAAATTATATTTGACAAAATCATTTTTATTTCGTAGATGAATCGACTTTTTTTATTCATTATAACATTGATTATTTCCGGTGTTGCTACCATAGTAGCTCCATTATGTGGCTCTTCTGTTTTTCCTCATATAGGCTATGCATCCGTTTTTGGTTTCTTTTCGGGCGGCTATGTTACTTTAACGGCAATCGTTCTTGCTGATATAGTCGGCATTAATAAATTATCGGATGCATTCGGTGTTCTTTTACTTTTTGTTGGCATTGCAACTGCTATTGGAACACCTATTGTTGGTAGGTGTTTATTATTATTTTTCGGTCAATTTTTTTACATTTTGTTATACATGCATTATTTCTAGGAGGAATGCGAGATGCATTTGCTCACTTTTCGCGACCTTTTCTATGGCCTTATCTTATTTTTGGCAGTTGTACTGTTGTTAGTGGTATTCTACTATTTGCCATTCCATTTTTACAACCAAAAAAACCTAGTGATGGTCAAACGGAGATAGGTTGTGATGTTTTCTACTCGGAAAAAGATCTATCGTCTCAAGAACAACAGCAAAAAGTTTAACTGTTTGCATGCAATTTTGTTGTCCACGGTCATAAAATTGGATTCTAAATAATGCTCAATAAAAACAAACTTTATTCAAATAGACATTTATATTGGTTGTTGAACTCAATTTTGTCTAAGTTGTATATAGAGTGAAATCTCAACTTTAGATACTTTTCTTTTTTCTTTTACAAAAAATAAATAACTAGATGAGCGTGTCAACATTTGAAGAATGTCTACCAAGCAGTATTCAAAATTTTGTACACTTATATAGTTTTTCCACTGTTAGTTATTAGTGAAATAAATCTTGAATAGTTATATAGAATTCTGTTTAATTATTTAACGGCACAAGTCTCGATGGTTCAAATACACGGAAAATTTTGTTTTGGTACTCCAAAATCTGCTTGGAATTGTAAAACATTGGTAAAACTTCACGAAAATTCTATTTCTGACAAAATGTATAAAAGATTGATATTGAACATGCTAATGTCACTATAGATCTTTGTTGAAATTGACGTTATTTTCGAAATTCTCATAAAAATTTAATAATTCATAAAAAAATTTTGCTTCAAACATAATAACAGTTTTCGTATAGAATTTTCATGCTTAATTGTATATAATTCAGTTGTTATTATATTCAATATTGAAATTTTGAATTCTCTTCGGGTGTGGACACTGTGTTGTCTTCAGCTGATAACTACAAAATGATGCTATATTTTTCGATTCTCATGAGAATTCCATTGTGATCCAGAAGACAGTGTATTTGAAAGATTTTGTCTTCTTCGTAAAGCAGTAGAACTCTATTCAAATTCTAGCGACCTTTTTAAAATTCTCAGCAGACTTCTGCTGTAACTTTTAAATTCTTGATAGATTTCTGGTTCAACAAAGCAGTGGGCATGGATCAAGAAAACGATGTTGTAGTCGTCATTATGTTTGATCTACCAGCTGAATTTTATCAGAATTCTGTTGTTGTTTTTTTTAAAGTTCTGAATAGAATTCTGTCTTATCGAAGGCAAAGTATATGGAAGATGAGTAGTACTCTGAAAATTCCAAAGGTACAGCTTAATTTTTTTAGTATTCTATTCGAGCAAGTAGAGTTGAAAATAATGGATTAATATTCAAATTCTAAGCATGATATTGTCTTGTGGATGGAAGGTCGTGAAACTCATTATTCTCCCATAGAAGTGTTCCGCTGGTCGATATATAGAATACTATGAAAATTCTGTCGGAAGAGCTATTCTCTCTTGTCTGTGATTTCTGACAGTACTCTACTTGCTTTTTTTAATTCTAAGTAGAATTTTAGTGTTACAAAGGAGATATCTAAATATACAGAGTAGATATATACTTATTTGTGTAACCAGAATTTTGTTTCGACAAAAAAGATTTTATCTTTATCAGGTTTTATCTGCTATAAGTAACTATAGAATTCTGTACATATTTTCCTAAGACGCTTGGATTTTTGACAGATTTGGGTGTGGGCGTGGGTGATACTTTACAAATCAGTTGCACTCATTCACACCCACCTACATACTACACCCACACCCTTAATGCTATTGTTTTCTCTGAGTTGTTCTCATGATTATTGACTAAAACTTCAATCTAGCTTATTTCCAATAATATGCGTATGAAAAAATGATAACTTTTTAGTAAATGATGTTACTTTTTTATCAATAATACAAATAAGAAGTTTTTATGCTTCTCGAGAGATTGTTGCCTGTTCTAAATATTCATGGTCATTGAAAATTAATTTTAATAATAAATAGACCTGTGGCAGTTTCATATCAGTTTCGATCATGAGAACTGTCCCGACAGTTCTTTTGTTAGGAACTGACCTATATAGCAGTTATTTTTGAATTAATTGATGCCATCAGAATCTCATTTTGGCCTTTCCACTAGATTTATAATTGCTTCACTATGTACCGTACTTTTGAACTGCACAATGTGCTGGAATGAAGTCGGACTATGTCAAATAGTGTAAATTTAACAAATGCAGTTATTTACTGAATGATTTGAAATAACAAATATTGACAATAAATTGTTGACAAATGTCTTCAAAGATTATAAACTGGCAGGATATGAATTTTGTAGGCTGAATCATACAATAATCATTATGAGGGCTGCTTCGACTTATTTTTTCGGGATTTTGTATATTTATTGAGGATTTATTTATTCTGACGATATTTCAATTCACCCGCACCCTCTAATAGAAAATTCTCAAATCTATTTACTATCTGTGGCATATAATTGATCGCTATTGTACTGATATTTTAAGAATAGTAGCAAACTGGCAATACTTTTAAATACTTTCTATGTGTATTTCAGCTTATCTATTGCAAGAATAATTGGATGAAAAAGTAACTTCTAGAGAAGCAGAAATAATATTGTAAACAGGAGTAAGGTTTTTTTGAAACATTTTCTAGTTGTAGAAAAAATATAGGGTTTATGAAACCGCTCGTGGGCAGTATTCGACATCGAGTGATAGCTAAAAGGTAGTGGCATAACCAAGAGATGACTGAATCACCTGAAATACTGCCCTCCCACTACCGAGAAGAAATCTGTATTCTTTCTTCGATATGCCAAAAAAATGCTCGATGGAGCTTACATCAATATTGAATGATGAATGAAATCATACACTTTACACAATTAATCTAATGTGGGCATATTTTTTAAAAGTAATATCTCAGAGAGTATATCTGATTTAACTTTTTATTTCAATAGAAAACATAGATCAATAAAACGAGGAAAAAATGCATAGTTATCGATGTCTTTCTTGTTCCATGTGAAGGCGCACTGGTCGTAGTTGTCGTATATGTACCATTTGGTTTTTCAGTCAGAAAATGATAAAATTCTTTAGCAAGCATCGCTTGCATTTTCGATGTCAAATGATATTCATCACAAAATATTTGTTTTGTTATATTTTGACACAAAATTTGTACTGTCGAACCGGATATCGTGTCCCAGCAACTATCTAAATTTTCAAAACCAGACTGAGCATAATTATCTATAATCATTGAAATAAATGAATAACTATCGAATAAGCGAATATTCAATGAGGTTTTTAATGATGAATTATATTCATGTAATTTCATAGTTAAAATTTGATTATGCTCAATATAGAGATATTTCGTTGTATTTGTTTGATTCTTATTACGAAATGCTGGAAATCGATCAAATGGTGGTTCACTAATTAGAACTAAATTTCGTCCACCAAAATTAATTAATGCATTCAAACAATCAATAATACTTTGTACAGTATCCAATGTTGTGAGTGTTTTATTGAAAAAGTAATTATTTGTGCCAGACCATATTACGTAAAGTGTTCGATCAAAATCAATTGTTTGATTATTTACTGCATTTTTATATTGAAGAATTTGTTGCCAAACGCCAGGTGATTTTGTTTTACTACGAATATCATAATTTGCAATTAAATTTGGATTGCGACTCATTGTTCCTTGTGCCAATCGATTGTCCGTCGTAGCACTACCACAAGAATAATCGTACAATGTTGCATTTGTTAAGAAGTTTTGGGTGAAATATTGATTCCACAGAAGACCATCTGCAAAACCCCCATTGGAATTAAATGGTGGTACAGGTGGCCAAGTTCGATTCGATAGTTGATAGGCAGTACCGGAATCAGTTGTTGAGTCACCAAATGTAACCACTGTTGTATATGGTAATAAGCCTTCAATAGAAAAAAAAATTAACGATGAACATCATCTAAACCATTTGTGATTCCATTTCAAGTTTTGATCATTTCGATTTTCTATTTGACATTTTAGACAATTCTTTTTGAATTGAACGGATCTAATAGTCGTCATACTCAATAATATATTACAGATATTCACTTTGAATAAAATAGTCAGTGAACAGTTGAAAAATCGATTAAAAGTTTTCTTTTTTCATGGATTCAATTTTAACACATGAGGAAGATTTTTCGACTTACTCATTTGATCATAAAAAATATTAGTGAAAGAATCTACGATTCGATAAATATTTTTTGCAAGAAACCTTCTCACTAGAGTGTCATTGAACAGTAGTTCAACTTGATGTATATATTTCTATGGCGAGTCATTTAAGAAGTAAAAAAAATCAGATAACAAAAAAAATGAAAAGCTACGCATTTATGAAAATCAACTACTATTTACATTAACTTGGCAACGCGACTCTTTGTTCATTTATTCTTAGATAGCTCAAATATACTCTATCCAATCAAACAAAAAAAAATATTTGCGAACTTTTCGACACCTCAAAAATATATTCAGAATAAAGTTTGTGAGTGATCTTTTACTTAGTTCGACTCTTAATTCAAATAACAATATTTAATCTTTTGCTGAAAACTCGAACGGTATATAATTTAGAATCCATTTAGTTTTGATTGAATTATTCGACTTGAAAATGTTGAATAGTTGTGTTATGAACAAAGAAACTTTACTGTCAGATGTGTAAAACACCATCAACTAATATCGAGTTCTCGTCAATTTTTCTGTTCAAATGCAATACTCGACAGGAACAAGAACATTTCATTTGGTTCAAAATAAGAGACTACAACACTTACTGTGAGACACATTTATCCAGTAAATCAAGAATAGGAATAAATGAAATATAATAATAGATATCATTCTTACTAAGGAAACTTGATTTGAAACTGATTTTTTCGTCGTAGAACACACTAATTATATTGCCATTGCATCTCTGACGTCTTTATGACTAAAAAGGAAGTGATTTAAAATTACGAATATGACAGCGAAAAAAGTAACAAAGATTTATTTTGTTACTTTCGTTTGACGTAAAAAACAACTATCACTGGTACTGCCCACATTTTTTTTTCTTTATCTGACAATTACATGTTATTTTATTAGTACGCATAATATCATGTGCACTTTAATATGTAAGCATATCGTTCTGATCATATCGATTATTCAAGGTAATATTTTCTTTCTACGGGCATTTGTATGCTAATAAAGTTTCAATATGAATAATGTTATTGCGTAGAAATATAACAGTTCAACGATCTAAATAAAGAAATTATTGTATTTTATCTTTAAGTGTTTAATTACGACTAGTTTTCCATTGTATGCATGTAAACTACTGTGTAAATAGCAGAATTTCTAGACTGCAAATAAAAAATTTTAGAGACAAAAATCGGTATTGATCACAGTTCTAAAATTAAAGTAATGCCAAGATCTAAATATGCTTTCGAAGTGATAAAGTCAGCATTTTTCTATTCGTCATTGTCGCATCGAAAAAAAGAACAGATTTGAGAACAAGAGTGATTTTGATAAATGTCGAGTGCAATTCCGGTTATTATTACTGAGTAATATCGTTATCCAACAATTCCAATTCTGCACACTGCTTGAATAGAATTTCATCATCGGCCACAATCTTTCAATCGCATTCATGCGAAAAATAAATTTCTAAATTTCAATTCTCTCATGTGGCAACAGTTTTAACAAGAAAAAAAAAGAATTCCATGGATAATATCGATAACAACTGCATATTAGAGCGATTCAAATTTTTTTTTTCAAAAAAAAATATTCTTGCTGATTGAATTCATAGAAGAAAGTGAAACAATTATTATCTATGATTACGTCAAATCAAGCTTCCTTTGCATAATTCTTTCCTTTGATGTTTATTTCAAAGTAACTCTCGCTGTATTATTATTGAGATCTGTTTCGATAGAAGATAGATGACGATCAATTGAACATCTTTCAAGTAGTTTTTACAACGTATAGTCGATGAATAATATCGATTAAGTCAATACGCAATGATCCCGAAATTAAGTACTTTATCGTAGGAAAACAAGAATATCTTCATTAGATTTTCATACAATGCTTTTTTTTATTGTGGCTCAATGTGAACAATACCGGCAAAGTACTTTCTCGTGTTGCTTTATTGCGTGCAGTGTGATCTGAATTCCAGCATTATTTAGAAGGCATAAAATACAGGGATATTTCAATGCACAATAAGTGCCTACATCTTAGTTGATTCAATATATCGCATTTCGAGCAGAAAAATAGATTTTTTACGCATCGAAGTTTCATGTCTGTCACGGTCTGTGTGCTGGAGAGGGAAGATGATGCAAATTTCTCACTCTAAAACTTCAATACGCATTTTCAGTCGTGTTTCACAAGGACAATTTGCTATCTCATTTTTATGATCTAGCAATATACACTTATAACATCAAAATATTCAACAATCTAAAATATATTATACTTCGATCTTCCTAATTATCTTGAAAAGCACTTTTTAACATCCAAAAATATCTTACACGTCACTATTATTCATTACCTTCGAAACATATCTTACACGTCATTCTACTTAATTACCTTCGAAAAAATATTCAATGTCGCAAAAATCTTGTAAGTTACGTCTAAATCTTCTTAGGTAAAATATTTATATTCATCCGTCAGTATAACTCATCAATGATTTTGTTTATTGAGAGAATATATAAATACTAAAGACGAAGACAATCGTAGAGACAAAATCACTAATATCCAACGCTTTAGTCATGCGATCGTTATTGATTTTATGTTTGATTCAATGTTCCAGTGTCATTTCAATGCATTTGAAACGAGGTAAGCACTTCCAGAGAACATGTATAGTTAAGATAAGTTCAATATTTGCTTATCAATCCGTAAACTGTGGTTCAATAATTCTCTTGATTTAATGCGTGAATTGATTGAAATCTATTCTTTTTCTTTTAACTACAGATGCAGCCAAGCTATTGAGTCGAAACAGCATATCTCAGGATGGTCATGCATCATTTGCACATCTCGATCAAAATCTCAAATATTTTCTTGCTAAGAAATTAGAATCTGTAGCTGAAACGCTCAATGATGGCAAATTAATTCTGCCAGTGGTTGTTGATCAATATCAAGGAGAAAATCTTCAAGTATTGGCAAGAGCTAATTCAACACGTATTATTAAATTACGAGGAAGTCAAACTGATGGTCGAATAACTATAATGGAAGGAGAAATTCTTGTTGGTGAAGCTCCGCCACTTCATATTCATCATCGTGAAGATGAATATTTTCATGTTCTACAAGGTGAACTTCAATTTGAAGTTGGCGATGAAACATTTATGGCAAAAACTGGTACATGGGTCTATGCACCACGTTATATTAAACATCGTTTTCGCAATATTAATTCACCTGGTGCTCGATTAGAATATGTTTTTCAACCGGCTGGTATTGAATATTATTTTGAAGAAGTGAGCAAAATTGTGGTCGCACAACAGGGTGATTGGGAAAAAGACGCTAAAGCGGTTGCCGTCAAATATGGACTTGATATGCTTGGATCACCAGATTGGACGGGATGATGAACTTGAATTTTTTTATTTTGTCGTACTTAATTTTTCTTGATAACTGATATATGTAGGATAAAAGCAAAAGCTTTTTTCCGTCAGTAGTGGAAATTTTCGAATTCATATTTGTTTGTCTAAAGCTGTAAAAAGTGTTCGGTGGTAAATAAATCGAATCGTTGTCCTTCTTCTTTCAATATTCTATATAGCTCTATTATAGATTATGAATCATGTTTCGTGGCACCCTGATGCGATGCCGTGTCCGATGTAAGTTAGTGCCCGATATTTCAGCCACGACTGTGGTCGCAAAAGTATTTCTATAGGTGCATCTTGTTCAGAATTTTGTACTCTTCAAAACCCAGTATGAAAGTTTCAGATATAATATTCTTCGGCAGAGAAAATCGCTGATTACTACCCGTGACCAGAATTGGTCACGGTCGGTCACGAGTCGTTTCAGTCATGGGTAGTAATCAGCAGTTTTCTCTGCCGAAGAATAATATTTTTTATACTTTCATACCGAATTTTAATGAGTACAAAATTCTGAACAAGACGCATCTATAGAAATACTTTTTCGGTCACGATCGTGACTGAAAATGTTGGACACTAATGTAAGAATCTGAATATCTGATTTTCAAATATCAGATATTCAATGTTTGAGCATACACTTTGTTTTTGACATTCACGTAACGATTGATAAGTTCAAACAAAGCTTTCTTATAAATAAACACTGAGGATTTCTCAAAACGGATCAATTTTTTTTTGTGATTCATTTTCGACAAAAATTATTCGACCAAGAGCATTCTTACCTACTTTAATACTGTAGAATCAATCAATATGTCAAAAGCTACGATAGAAAACTGTGTCCGGGTTCCAATCCATCCACACAATGAATAGTTTAATTGAAAGACATGTTTGATGAACGAACTTTCGACATCATGAGGAAGATATAGTGCAAAGAGCACTGATTTAAGTATTCATACTTCGAGTCGCGATATTAAATCTCGTTTTTAGAATCACTTTTTTTCATTCATCCTGTGTAGAAACTTTCTCTGATTCGCCTATTGAATAATAATACGCGATTGAGAGACAATTTTGAAAATGAATAAATATGAGTGTTATCAGTTGAACAACAAAAAGAAGTAAATACTCTGGCTTTTCAATTTGAGAGAATTTGCGCGTAGATTGACATATTGATCAACAGAATGACAGAATTGAATTTCAAGTAGATGAGTCTTTTGCAAAAGAATCTGTCGAATGGATCATCTTAAAAAATTCATCATCTTCTCTGATTATCTTTTTTTTTCCTTTTTTTGAGATGACTCTGTCGTTGACTCTTGTACCAATTCGAGAAATTTGTTGATTTTGTTTCTCGTCATAGATGTTCAACGAATCCGAAAACTTTCTCGTTTGACTTTGATATTTTCTATCAGACGACAAACAATCGACGAGCGAGACTTTTCTTAGTTCTTCAATGACAACAACGGCATTCGAGTGGACTGAAAACGATTTATGCGTGAGCCAATGTGTCATTGAAGGTGATTATGCCAGAGTTGATCAATATACAATGTTAATTGGTATGACCATATTCAAAATAGATAATGACCGAATACGTCAGAGGGACACTTAAACAAATAATATTTCGATGATATGAGTGCATACGAATAAAAATACAGAAGATAAACCAACACGATTTACTTTGATACTGGATATTGAAGTGAAAATAATCCTAAGACATCTGCTGTTTGCAAAAATTCAGTTTTTATTTATTGTTAATATTTTGTGGAATGCAGTAAAATGAATACTTTCTCATAATATCATGGTTATCAACAATCAAAAATTGAATCGAACGACACCTAGCATTAAACCAAATTGGTTTACGTAAAATTTAAAAGAACGCGTTTTCTATTCATTATATTAGATTCTTTATAGAACTCTTAGTAATGGATTCATAATTCCTATGTCTCGTTCTGACGAAGGATTCATCGTCGAGTGTTCACTTTTTCAATCTGTACAAATGAAATTCTGGAAAGATTACTAGTAAAAAGAAACAATGCATTTGATAATATTATATATCAAATGAAATTTCCCAATGAAAAATATAATCAACACTATTCATAATATCATATATTGAGAATTTTGATGAATATCGAGAAAATTTTTGTTAAAAACCGAATAAGAAACTTTGTTCAACAACATAAAATTACGTAGAAGACATTATTGTTCACGTTCAGTAATGAAAGCTGTTAAATCACTGTAGCATTCGGTATTATTATATAAAAATAATGGTTCGTACAAATTGACAATATCATAATATTTTCTTTGATATGAACATTGAAATGGCAATCGACTATCGATTGCATCATACAATGATCTTATACCAGGTGTACTCTCAAATAGAGCATTGTAATGCTAAGCAAGAGTGCTTGTTTGAGTATCGTACGCGTGGATGAATTGAAATTTTCATAGTAACATTGAAAATTACGATAACGTAATTCATTCGCTAGGAATGAACAAATGTTTTTGATAATTCATATAACTGCAGCCATTATCTCATGTGAACTGACACAATTTCTAGTAACAAGTGCACGATTGGCGATCATTAGTGGCGCACTAGCACTACAAGGAACAGCAATTGCCTTCCCAAATTACTCATGCTTTCTTTGTATACTGGAGTAAAACTATCTGTTCCAACATACATATTCAATACGACTTTGTAATTAATATGCGAGGATTGATCTAGTCTCATGAATTTGTTTATTGTAATCTTGATGAATGCGTTCCCTGTTATACACATTTAATATGAGATTATTTATAAAAATGCATAATCAACTGTTTTAAGTATTTTCAACCTTCTATTCTTTCAGAAGAAGTGACATACAGATTGTATCGCTCGACCAAAGCCATTAACGCAATCTTCAATGGACTTTCTTCTTCATAAAATTGGTCATCTGATACTTGAATAATCTCCATCTAATCTCACCAAAAGAATTGAAGTGAGATCATAAACGGCGCAACAGCAGTACAAGCAGCATCCATTGCTTCCGCTAAAAAGCATTCGAGCGAGCGATAAGAACTAATTGCTTCGCCAGAATTCCCAAGCCAGCTATTTTTAAGAAAGTAAGACTAGTTAATCCAATGTATACGTATTCAGGACGACTCTGTACTTAATGTAGGAAGATTGATCCGTATTATCATAACTTTGTTTATTGTTATCCTAATGATTGGGTGTGGGGTAGATGTGGCTAGAGTATGAGTGCTGGTGTGGGTATCACTTGTCAATCGAATCACACCGACGCCTACTCACACCCTATTTCACGAATGAGAATGGATATTCTGTGATACTTTTTTGATTGGTCGCCTCTATGTGAAATCTGATTGGCTGTCGTGGTAGCTTGACATCGATAAGAAACAGGTAGATTAAATAGTTCAAACAAAAATTCCTACTCATGCCTCTATCGAAAAACATAGATTGTAGGACTTAGCCGTTAATTCTTTTCTTTTTTGTAGAATCGGCTGTATTTCTTTCGGTAAAAAGTAGCAACAAGTATTTCTGAATCATGAAGCAAATTGTATTAGCTAGTGGAGCTGCAGAATCAAATTGTAATGATGTTGTTAAAGATTATTTCACATAGACTGAAGATAATATTTCAATATCCATTGCTGATCAAGCATTAGACAATAAACATAAAATCGTTAATATCGACTTGGAACGATCGACACCACAATAAAATATTAAAGTAACATTACAAATACGTTCCAATACGAGAGACGTTCATCCAAACGCACAACACACCCATACCGGCATTCACATCAGCACCCACACATACACTCCCACCTGCACCCACATCCAAATCCACATCTTATTATTCAAGAATAGTTTATGCAAGACAAACAATAAATTAGGGCATTTTGCAAGCCTTAGTGATTTTTATCATTCGGCTTTACTCGCAAATCGAATGCGTGTATTGTTTTCATTCTATCTTTAGAACATGGGCTCTGATTGGTTAGACCTGCTAATTGAATCTCTTCGACTCGATCTTTTTACCCAAAACTCGTCAGAATGGTCTGATATTTTAATCACAGACAGGATTCATTGTTGCAGCAAAGGATCTGTTCGCTTTGATGTAACTTTAAAACGAGCGGTCGTTAGACTGCCCGCTGAATACCACACATTTTGGGCCATTTTTCAACACCTTAGTGATGTTTTAATATTTCAAATTTTACATGATTCGATGCGATTTGAAAAGTTCTGCAAAATGAGATTAAAAAGTTCGTGTAAATTTGACGATTGCGGTCGCAACCATCCTCAGAATTGTAAGAACATATGTTTTTGACTATCATGTTTTTTCATGACTTTTATCTTTCATCTTCATATTTAGAGGGTCTGCAGAGTTGAGAAATTATGGCTTTGTAGAGAATTTTATGCACGACCAACATCTCAGATTGTGACAGACATGTCGACACGCTCTCTTTTCATTTCATTATGGACTATGATAGGTGTGGTCATGAGTCTGTTTACGATTAAAGGAGCTTCATCGTGTTTCACATTTTAAGTCGGTAGAGATTGTGCGGAAAGCTTTTTAGGAATGATTGTATTTTTTTAAATAAACAGCAAGCCGCAAAAGAACATGATTCTGACGCCCACAGTTTTTCTTTAATCATCTTGTTCTTTCTGTCCTTCCTGTTCTTCTTGCCCTTCCTGTTCTTCTTGTCCTCCCTGTTCTTCTTGTCCTCCCTGTTCTTCTTGTTCTCCCTGTTCTTCTTGTTCTTCCTGTTTATCATCAACAGTGTCTTTGCCCCAGTCGTACACAGAAATACAATTCGGAGCAGTAGAACATGAATTACAGCTTCCACCATATTCATGTGGCAATTGATCAGAATCAATATGTTGTAATAACAATGTTGATGTTCCAGGACCCTTTTTAATGACAATAATTTTTGTTTTCGTTACAGGATCAAGCCAATGTTTCACTAAATTCCAAAGAGCAGGAAAAATAGCTGGTGGATTTACAATAAAC